TCAAGGTTAGTAAATATAATGCTTCAGATTTGATAAGGATAATATTATCTTTCCATGATACACAACATTCATGATAAGTCAGGTGTATGTTTAAATAGAATGACATATCCTATGATCTTTATGAAAAGTTGAAGGGTGTGTTGCCTTCCAGCTACCAAAGACACAATGCCTGCCGTCTCCTGTATGCGAGACAGGTGCTAGGTGAAGCACTTCACCCTAATTGATTCAATCATCATCACAACACAGATGCAACTGCAGCAAGACTGATTAAAGTGCCCCTAAAATTAATGGTTAATGTCAGTTGTAAATATTCAGGATTTCTATCATGGATTGCAGAAATTCTATATTTGTTCTGAAAATATATTTAACAAGGAAGCACCTTATAAAATGTTAGCTGTAGAGTTTATATATGAATTGTATGCCACATAGTATGATCCTTGATCGGACAATATGCTATGGAGTCTTGACTTCAGCAGTAGCTACCAAATCTTACCTGTTCACAGTTTTGATTCTCACTTGTTTGCACTCATGAAAATGACCTTACAGTTCAATGTGAACTTTCAGAATGTGAAAATCTAGCCTTTTTACTAGATATTTATGATGTGTAGGCAGAACCAAAGATATACTTGGAAATGAAATGGAAATGAAGTAATTTCTCCCTCCTTGGTTAGAAAGAGATGAAACTGTCACATATCATAAAAACACAATTGTGTTTCTGATCAATACTCATGAAGCCCCAACAAGGTTGTATGCAAGGGACTTTGCATGGTTCATCACAGTGAATCTACACACCACTCACTGTAGAACTATCTTCAAAAGGCAGACCACAATTAACCTACAACACCGACAAAGACGTTTCGAATCACAAGATATAATTGAGACAAAAGGGTGATTCATCAATATCTGCCAGGTTCAAGCTTGTGGACAAATGAGAAAATATTGAAGCAGTCTGCAAATATTGTTCTCATGTGGTGCTGTACAAGAACACAATGATGAACCAGGCTGAGAGTCACATCTTGAAAATACTCAGCTGGATTAGGAACCAGTGTCTGCAACACACATCGATCGGAAACTGACGAATTTCATTAAATGACAGTTTGTGAATGGAAATGTGCAAAGGTTATAGTTGTGGTGTGTCTGCATTTCAGGAAAATAGATTAGACTTGTTTGAGCAAGAAATTGTGGAATTGGCTATATTTAGATTGTGTATGAAAACTTGACAGTGATTGAAGGAAGTGTTAATCTGTCATTGAACATGCTTTATTGAATATGTGAATGTATTTTGGCTGGTGAAGTTTGAGTGAAATGGTGTTCTCCAAATGAAACCTGGTGGCAATATGATCCAATTATTTAGGATTGAATTTAGTAACTAGATTCACTCCCACTCACTCACTCACTCACTCACTCACTCACTCACTCACCCAACCACCCACCCAACCACTCACTCAACCACTCACTCAACCACTCACTCAACCACCCAACCACTCACTCACCCACCACTCAAGTATTCAACATTGTTACAGCAGTGTCGCATCTTAAATACTGTTAACTGTTAGAACAAATAACGCAGCAGATGAGAAGAAGCATGTGAAACTAATGGATGATGATGATCATGATACTCATGATATTGTTGGAATCACACAACATACTCTGCATAAAGCTGAGATTTCTCAGGATTATGGATAAGATTTGTTGCCGTTTGTTACAAACCAGACTTCAAAATGTAAATAACATTTGTAAAAAGAAGGCCATATACATTGAACTCTCAGATAACAAACTCATGTCCAGATGTGCCCTTGTGGACTAAGGTGTGCCATCTACAAATAGTTTTGATTACCAAGGCCAGATTGTAACCACTTGCAATTTGCCCTTATAAGTATGAAACAAACTAAATATCCTAGTCCCATGCTGTCCGGAACAAACTAAATATCCTAGTCCCATACCGTCCTGGAACAAACTAAATATCCTAGTCCCATGATGTCTTGGAACAAACTAAATATCCTAGTCCCATACCTTCTTGGAACAAACTAAATATCCTAGTCCCATACTGTCCTGGAACAAACTAAATATCCTAGTCCCATACCTTCCTGGAACAAACTAAATATCCTAGTCCCATACCTTCCTGGAACAAACTAAATATCCTAGTCCCATACCGTCCTGGAACAAACTAAATATCCTAGTCCCATACCGTCCTGGAACAAACTAAATATCCTAGTCCCATTCTGTCCTGGAACAAACTAAATATCCTAGTCCCATGCTGTCCTGGAACCAACTAAATATCCTAGTCCCATGCTGTCCTGGAACAAACTAAATATCCTAGTCACATACCATCTGGAACAAACTAAATATCCTAGTCCCATACCGTCCTGGAACAAACTAAATATCCTAGTCCCATACTGTCCTTGAACAAACTAAATATCTTAGTCCCATACTGTCCTTGAACCAACTAAATATCCTAGTCCCATACCTCCTGGAACAAACTAAATATCCTAGTCCCATACCTTCCCGGAACAAACTAAATATCCTAGTCCCATGATGTCTTGGAACAAACTAAATATCCTAGTCCCATACCTTCCTGGAACAAACTAAATATCCTAGTCCCATACCTTTCTGGAACAAACTAAATATCCTAGTCCCATACCGTCCTGGAACAAACTAAATATCCTAGTCCCATACCATACCACTCCTGGAACAAACTAAATATCCTAGTCCCATACCTTCCTGGAACAAACTAAATATCCTAGTCCCATGATGTCTTGGAACAAACTAAATATCCTAGTCCCATACCTTCCTGGAACAAACTAAATATCCTAGTCCCATACCTTCCTGGAACAAACTAAATATCCTAGTCCCATACTGTCCTTGAACCAACTAAATATCCTAGTCCCATACCTCCTGGAACAAACTAAATATCCTAGTCCCATACTGTCCTGGAACAAACTAAATATCCTAGTCCCATACCTTCCTGGAACAAACTAAATATCCTAGTCCCATACCTTCCTGGAACAAACTAAATATCCTAGTCCCATACCGTCCTGGAACAAACTAAATATCCTAGTCCCATACTGTCCTGGAACAAACTAAATATCCTTGTCCCATACCATTCTTGAACAAACTAAATATCCTAGTCCCATACTGTCCTTGAACCAACTAAATATCCTAGTCCCATACCTTCCTGGAACAAACTAAATATCCTAGTCCCATACCGTCCTGGAACAAACTAAATATCCTAGTCCCATGCTGTCCTGGAACAAACTAAATATACTAGACCCATACCTTCCTGGAACAAACTAAATATCCTAGTCCCATACCTTCCTGGAACAAACTAAATATCCTAATCCCATGCTGTCCTTGAACAAACTAAATATCCTAGTCCCATGCTGCCCTGGAAGAAACTAAATATCCTAGTCCCATGCTGTCCAGGAACAAACTAAATATCCTAGTCCCATACTGTCCTTGAACAAACTAAATATCCTGGTCCCATATTGTCCTGGAACCAACTCTGTCCTAAATCTGATCAATTAAGCTATTTGTTCCAGTACAGCAGCTGATGCGACAGATCTTCAAAAATAACAATGCAGATATCAAGTAGATGGACACTTAGTGCTTGTACATTGTTTTGATTGATTTCTTCATGATATGGCTTTTATGGTCAGATAAACATGAAATACACAACGCTTTAGTGAATACATTTAAGGTCTGTGTGAGCAATTGATAACAGACACTGCAGTGGCCAGGAAGTGTTGGGCTCTGGTGAAAGAAACAGTGTATCCAGCAGAACGATTACTCAAATTGAAATACATGTTTTCCAATAAGTCCTGCTTGTCTGTGGCCAGCATCCTAGTGGGAATTGTGTACAAGCTATCTGCCTTTGGATTTATGGTCCTCTCATAGAACATTTTTTTATCGCTTTTGTGTGGCTTTTGAGTGGCTTTTGAATGTTTCTAAGGTTATTTAGTTAACATGTTTAGTGCTTCAAGTTGTGTGTAAATAGGAATTTGGGAGGTAAAGCAGAAATTGCATTTGAGCTATTTCGTTGTAATAGTTCTTTGACAGATGTTTTGGCATAATGGCTCTCAGTAGAATTATAAGTTTTTGAACCTGTTTTCATTGTTGCTGTTGAACTTCTGAGAAGATGTTTTATGTTCACTGAAGAGGTGGGGTGTGTAATAAGTGTCAGTTTTGCAGAAGTATCCTCTTTTTGCTTATTCATGAACTGGAGTGTTCCATGGAGTTCCATTGGTTTGTTGTTGAATGCCACAGTGCAATAATCCAGCTGTTTGATATCTGTAAAAAATCTGAACCAGACAGTCCAGTGACTGATATCATGAGCATGGATCTATGTAATCAGGATACAATGATAAGCATCATTCAAGTCTGTGAATCTGACCACCTGATGTTGATCATTAGTACTACAATTCATTGCAAGTTGGAGACCGCCTCCGTGGTGTAGAGGTTAGAGCATCCGCCCGGAAAGCGGGAGGTCGCGGGTTTGATCCCCGACTGCATCATATCAAAAGACGTTAACATATGGTACTTGTTGGTCCCTGACTGGCGCTCGACATTAATGGGTACAACAAGGACTGGTCGGCTCAGAGTCAGTATAATGTGTCTGAGTGGGGTATTCATGCTTCACTGCGGCATGGTATCTCAGTGGGCTAGCACTATAAAACCAGCTTCAGTCTGGGCTAGTACAAGAAGCCACACATACACACGCATGCACGTCGTCATATGAGCGAAATATTCTCAAGCACGACGTTAAACCCAATTTCACCTCACCTCACCTCATTGCAAGTTGGTACTTCATTCAGTTACACCAACTGCAGTACTGTTGGCCTAATGACATCCCTGATCTTGCACTTTTGAAACAAGATCATCATGTTGGAAAGTGCTACCTTGCAGCAAGAACTGCATGAACCTCCATGAACTCAAAACTGGTCTACTAAAAATATTCACATTGTATTAATATCTGTAATTATCACATCTGTTCTCTCCCCCAGAGCCTCCCAGCAACAATGGCCAAGAAGAAGCCACAGCCACAACCTGTGGCCAATACAAGAGATTGTTTCCGAGAAGTGTTTGGCTTCTCGCTGGCCGACCTGTCTTCGCCGTCTGCCGCAGTACGTCTGCTGTGTCGTCCATCTGACCCAGCCTGTCTTGGGGTTACTCGCTTCCTGTTTGGTAAGTATTGATGAGGATGCTGAAGGCTGTCATTAGTTGGATGACAATAATGTGAGCAAAGACCAAACCCAGTAAGTCCATTGGGAAATGTCAAATTGGATGGTATGTGTATAGTTAACACTGCAAAGACTTGACATATGGCTGATCCATAGAAACAAGGTTGTAATACTTGTAAAATGGGTTTTATGGGCAAACTGCAAATAGATTTACAGGAAGTAGATAAGCCAACTTCTCATTTCATGGAAATGATGAGGTCTTCAAGACAACTATAGTTGTATGCTGATATGCCCATCACTCAGAGCAATGAGATCAGTGGTCAGAATTAATGTCCAAGTCAGGGTTTGATTTCCCACAAGGACATTGTGTCAACGGACTCCCACTTCACATCATCAGGCTGAAAACTCCTTGTTATTTCCTGAAGGTATACTGCTGTTGACTTGTACAAAAGCCTTCAGGAATACATAAAGATATGGCAACAGTGCTTCCTACTGATAAATTGGAGTTGATCTTTAAACTTCTTGCTTTTCAATTAACTTATGTAATCAGTATCAGATGGTGGTTGTGAAATACAGACAAGGAGCTGGTTCTTTACTTCAGTTGTCAAAATCCCCGCCCAGCGGCTTAGTGCGGCGATTTGGATGTAAATATATCTTAAGACCAAGATCCTTAGTTTCATTGTTCGTTCACCTTCATTTCACCCAAGGGGACTTTAAGACCCAAGAACTGTTCACTGGATTTTCTTCATTCCCCACATCTAGAGTACAATGTGTGAAGCCCATTTCTGGTGTTGACATTTCTGCCCATTGATATTGCTGGAATATTGCTGAAAGCGGCATAAAACTAAACTCACTCACTCTCTGTTGAGATATTATTATACCTGCCTATGTAATCATAAAGTTATTAACAATGTTAGATGGAGAAATGATTTTTTTACCATAGTTGAGAAAGTTGAGTGATATATATTCAAGTAATACTCAAGTATAAGCTTATTCCGAAGTTTCCCTATCAAAATACATAAACCATCGTCCGACCAAGCTGCATACAAGACTCAAGAACTTTCACATGCTCTGACACAAACAGTGTAAAAATCAATATCAACTTTTATTTTCTACATGTTGAAAAAACTTTTCAATTTGGATCAGAATTTGATCAGTTGTTCAGCTGATTTATCTGCATCCTGTATCTTCCAACCTGTTTTTCATGTGATGTTCTGAAGTCTTGAAATAGACGTGTGCCTCTCAACAATAGCCATGTATGGGCAGTCAAGCAACATCTTTCATCACAAGCTTCGCCGATTTAATCTCATATCCAACATATTCAGATTTTGCGATGGATAAAGCTGATGTTTTTTTGTCCATGCAGCCTCATTCCGGTTGCCATGCTGAGTTGATGCAATGCATGGCGAGGGTGGTATTCAGTTTCGTGATATTCGAGCAAATATCTCCCTGATTACATACTATCAATACAAGACACAGATGAATAACAGCAGTGCAGATAACATCAGCAGGATGCTCCCCTCGATACATCGTATCATGAAATATTAAACTTCTATTAATGTTACCCTGTTGACTGTCAGCCAAGCCATTCAGCACATGTACCCAATTCATCTTGAAACTACATGTTCACTGTAATAAGGCTGATTATGAACAATTTAAATCATGATGTTATTTTCTTAATCAAGTTAATGACATTGTTGCAACCAAAGAAGTGCTTGGGCTTTTTGTGAGGTCACAGCAGTAGTTATGTATTTTTTCTGGATTCAAATCTTTACCATAACAAAGTTCAGCATTGCCAATTTTATTTTAAACCATGTAATATTAATTCCATATTTCATTTATTTCATGCCTGGCATTTATGAATTTGGTACAAGCCATTGGCCCAGCCTATATTCTATATAATACTGGCATGGTAGTAACACATGTTACCAGATCCAGATTCTTCAGTCATATAACATGAACAAAGAGGTCATTTACAGGAAACAGTTTTCTCAAATGTCAGTATATCGTCAGTATATCCTCTTCTGTTTGAATATTAAGGAAAATAGGTCTTCAGACATGTAATAAAATGTCCCAGCTTCTGTTTGAATAAAGCATTTGGCCATGGCATCAATGCTGTTGATCACTGGATTGTTTGGTCCCTGACATTATTTACAGACCTCCGCCATATAGCTGAATTGCTGAGTCGGCGTAGTCTGGATCTGTTTGAATAAAAGTTTTCCTGGCATCATTGGATGAAGGGTCCCTATGGTTAATAGAGGAAATGCAGTTTAAAAAAGTGTTCACCATATTGAATCTATTGGTATGCAGTTTAAAGAGCACCATCTTGAAAATTGGTGATAGGGCTTGTTGATTTGGTTAACGGATATGATACCTCAACAACATGGCACTCTCTGTCAACCACTGGTGTGTCCAGCTCCAAGATTGTTATTTAGCTGGTTCCCTCATATACTGAACTTAACTGCTTCCCGGGCCCCATTCCTCAAAGCGATCGTAGCGTTAAGATGATCGTAACTCCTGTACTTTAACATAGATATACGACTGTCGTAGCGCTACGATCGCTGTCAGGAACAGGGCCCGGGTATACCTGAACAATCTTTGACAGACACAACACAGAAAACAAAGCACCAGGAATACTGGCATACTAAAAACATGTTTATTAAAAATTACAGATTTATTTAGTGCATCTTGTCCAGGTACTCTGCTCATGAGAGCCCAGTCATATAACTCTTTTGAATAAAATGATCTTTTATACTACGGAGCCATTTTCAAAGAAATCCATTCAAAGGAATCAAGGAATGGTCACAGCATATGAGTTTGTGAGTTGGGATTTACAGTGCTGGTAGCAATATTCCATGGCAGGGGACACCAGAGATGGGCTTCACATATTGTACTCATGTGACAAATCAAACCTTTGGTGTAACAATGCAAAGGTAGGCTACCCTGCCACTTCACATACATCTGAAGACACAGACAATGGGCTTCACATGTTGTATGTGGTTGATGAATCAAACATTTGACATGACAATGCAAAGGCATTTTAACCCGGCCCAAAGTACCCCCAAAATACGGCATATGCTGTACTTGTGTGAGGACTGGTACGTTCAGTGTGATAATCCAAGGCAGGCTACCCCACTTCTCCACATCAAGTGCACATGGTAAGACTGTAGAGTGATTGAGCCACTGCAGGACACTGCACAGTTGTCTTATGTTATTATACTGACATTTATCAGAAGAACTAGCATCTCCACAGAAACTAAACTGGTTCCACTGTTGGCTGGTACAACAGACTGGGCACTCTCAGGCTACAGACTGACCAGTTTACACTTCTGCACTATATCCAGTTATCATCTACTTATAGGTATGCATGCATAGAAATCTTCATCATGAATGTAAATACACATGGACAGAGCTGCACCTAAAGTTTTGGGGTAAACATTGCCACAAACATCTCTTCTAATGCTAATTTTGGGGACAGCAATTTTGATTCACAATCTTCACATCATCTGTTTTTGTTCCTTCAATACAGGGAACCAATAAATGCTATGTCATCAAATAGCTGCTACACAACATTGGCACTGCTTGTCTGCTTGTTCAGGATCTCGGCAAGCACAACAGCTGTTATTGTTTGTGGTCTGTTAGGTGTGTAAATTATACAATATATTCTATACTGGATTATCCTCAACAGCCAACTAATCTTTTGTGTTATAGAAATGCTTTATATGTAGATTGTTGGTTGTGAATGAATCTTAGGGCATGTGAATGCATGTGAATGCCCACCACTATTTCATTAAAGTTCTTTTAAAGGAATATGTGTTTTGGGAAAGAGAAAGATGTATAAAACACTATTGCATTGTAAGTTATAGTGACTGCACTGCTTTTTATGATTTTTGACAGTATAAGACCCTGCTTCAAGTTCAAGGAAATGATATGCCGCCTTTCAGAACTATTGTGTCACTTTTTACATCATACTGTTACAAGTTTAACTATTTTGTTTTGAAAAGTTGGACAGAGAACATGTATGATTCATTTGAAAGTGGGAATATGGCAGATATTCAATAACTTTTATGACAGACTCACAAGACAGGGTTGAATTATGGATTTCAACTTGTTTCTTTTTTTGTTGGGACAGTCTAGTACAGATGCTAGTAGTCAGTAAATAAATAAAGTTCTTAAAAAGCATTTTGAAGTTGGACGAACACATTGTTATGGATAGCAACTTCTTTTTATTCTTTATTCGACATTTTGGAGCTAATTCTTGCTCCTTCATCAGGTGAAAGAGCAAGAATTAGCTCTGAAACATCGAATAAAGAATGAAAAGAAGTCGTTGTCCATAACAACGTGTTCGTCCAACTTCAAAATGCTTTTTAAGAACTTCAGTAGTCAGTGGTTAGTTGCTTGATAAACACAATAACATCTGTACTCACACATCACATTAAGGAATTAAGTCTTTATACTCTTGATTTAGCAACTTCTTTTATCCAACTTAATGATCCTACTTATCTGTTCATGTCAGCAACGGCAATCCATCACTCCATTACAGAAAAGCTGTAGTAGTTACAAAGAATCAAGTGTTCCCAAAATTCTTTGAGTAATATATTAACCCTATGCATGATTGAAGGCAAAATGTACAGACACATGTTGAAGCAAGGTGAAAAGCCTGTAACTTGAAGTGTTAAGTATGTATTGATATTAAGTTATGATACTGAAATGAGCTCTGAGAGACACATATTGTTCCCACAGTTCTGTCATTTATCACATACTTTAACTCAGAATTTCTTTTTATCTAATTGGCCAACTCTCAACAGGATACATCTGTAGAGACTCTCAGAATGCTGTAGTATATTTTTGCTAGTGGTTCTGGGAATTTCATTATATTGTGGTCTGTTTTCTACCAATGTGTCATCAAGGAAAAAGCTTTAATAATTCCCATAAGAGTCGATCTCATGGGGCCGTAGCACTCAGATGTTCTTGATGCTAAATTTCTAAGGTTACCCATTACAC